GTGATCAAATTAAGTCTCAAGAGCAAAGGTTGGCTGCCGCTCTCAGTCAGAGTCCAAGCTTCCTGCCACCTGCCAGCAGGGCTGCAGAGTGCATGGCAGGCAGGGAAAGAGGTTTTTTTTTTCTTTGTAAGAAGAAGATTTGACGGTGGAAGGTTGACGACGATTGACGATTTGACGATTGACGACGATCAACCGTTGTCAACCTCCAGCTAGGTAGGTAGTTAACGTCACCTAGGCGCGGAACACCACTACGACTGACTCGCCTCAGCACCGGTACACAATACACCGTAACATCCATATTCAAATATTCTAGCATAGCACCATAACATCGCCATGCCTCCTCATAAAGCAAAAGGCCAAGCAGCCTTACAGTCACAGTCTCAGTCTCAGCCTCAGCCTCAGTCTCAGTCTCAGCCTCAGTCTCAGTCTCAGCCTCAGTCTCAGCCTCAGTCTCAGTCTCAGTCACAGTCACAGTCACAGCCGCCTCCGCTGCCCTCCGACTACGAGACTGACGCGCCGCCACCCGCCGTCGACGTGCCCCTCCCTCCCCCGCGATCCAACGAAGAGCTCAACTTCTCAGTTCTGCGTCGCGTCTACCCGGATCTGCTCGCGATTGAGCATGTGACCCCCTATGCAGCCCTCTACACGTTCAACCTCGAGACGCAGCAATGGGAGAAGGTTGGCATCGAGGGCACCCTCTTCATCTGTCAACTGACACCTTCGCCCATTGGCGCCGAACGCTACTGCGCAATCATCTACAATCGTCGTGGCCTGGACAACTTCTACCAGGAACTCACTAGCAGTGACGAGATGGAGATAACAGACCCCTATGTCATCCTCCAGGGCGACCTGGTCTACGGCATCTGGATCTTTGCCGACCCTCCGCCAGCTACCACCGCCAACTGTCGCGTCGAAACGGCCGAGAAGATGATGGCAATCGCAGACCGAGCACGAGCTAGTCGGGAGGCCAAGGAGAGAGAAGGGAGGAATGGTGTCATAGAAGCCACCGAACAGGTCGAAGCCTCGTCTGCCTCGTCTGCTCCCATGGGCCGCCAGCTCTCTCTTCGCCAACTGTTTGGCCAGCAACGCGAGCAAGACGCTGGCTTCAGCCTTCACAGCCATCACAACCAGCCGAGTCCATACCAGCAGCAGGCCTCCCATGCTCCAGAGCAGTCAGACGTGCTAGGTCAGCTTTTCATGAAAGCCAAGCAAGACTACAATGGCCATGGCTGATGTAATCCCTGCTCAGGAGCACACATCGAATCGGAAATTTGTCCCCCGTATCAACTCAGACAAGAGGAACATTCATCTCAACGCGAATTCCAGCACTCAGGCTCTGGGCAGTCAGCCCGGAGCACATGGAGCTCAAGCCTGGGCTATTTCGCATACGATGTATGCTGGGGCCTCATACGCTGCATCGCAATGTTTGCAGCCATGTGGCTCGCGGCACATGAGGAACGTGTGGAGCAATGGAAGGACTACGTGCTGATATGCGTCAACATTCTTGTCCTGGATGCAGTTGTCAAAGACATTTGGTATGGCTCGTTGAAAAAGGGCTGCAAATGCACCTGCAACCATCAGCCTTCGACACCACTGCACGAAGCAAGATCGCTCGTGGTATGATCACAAGAGTCTTGTGTCCACTGCGAGCGTTCTGTCAGGTTATTTTTTTTCTACACTCATATATGCCCCGTAGGCCAATAAAACACCCTTCTAAAAACATGTCGTTCAGGTACCCGGGCACTTGGGGACTGCAAAAGTGACCTCACACCTCAGATCCCTGCAAGACGAGTTTACCCCACGGCGGGGTAATTCCTTTCCCGCCAAAAAATAAAATAAAATCCCCATGCGACATGGCAACATCGGTCGCTCATACACGCCCGCACTCACAATGGCAGACAAAACCCGCGTCCTACTAGTCGGCAACGGTGGTCGCGAACATGCAATCGCTTGGAAACTCTTGCAATCCCCCTCCATCGAGCACATCTACGTCGTCCCCGGCAACGGCGGTACAGCAACACTCTCGCCCTCTAGAGTCACTAATGTATCCACCATCAAAGACAGCGATTTCGCCAGCCTCGTCGCCTTTGCAAACGAGAAGAATGTAAACCTCTTGATACCCGGGCCCGAGGCCCCCCTCGTAGCCGGCATCGTTGACTTTTTCCACACCAACGGCGGCGCGCACATCAAGGCCTTTGGGCCCTCGCAGGCGGCTGCGCGCATGGAAGGCAGCAAGACATTCAGCAAGGATTTTATGAAGCGCCACAACATCGCCACGGCTGCCTACGAAAACTTCAGCGACTACGAAGCTGCCAAAACCTACCTCGATTCCATCTCGCACAATATTGTGATCAAGGCCTCGGGCCTGGCCGCGGGAAAAGGCGTCATCATCCCTCAGACAAAAGATGAAGCTCACGCTGCACTCAAGGACATCATGCTCGACCGGGAATTCGGCAGCGCAGGCGACGAGGTCGTCATCGAGGAATTCCTCGAGGGCGACGAGTTGTCGATTCTGAGCTTCAGCGATGGCAGGACCATCAAGAGTCTCCCGCCTGCACAGGACCACAAGCGCATCTTCGACAACGATCAGGGGCCTAACACAGGAGGGATGGGGACCTATGCGCCCACGCGCATTGCACCGCAAGCCGTGCTCGATCTCATCGACAGGGAAATACTGCAGCCTACCATTGACGGCATGCGGGCCGAGGGATTCGAGTTCAAGGGCGTGCTCTTCACAGGCCTCATGATGACAAAAACGGACCCC